AAATATGTACACAGTTCAGGAAAATAAAAACTTAAGTATTTTAATACTAAATTTATTGGGACATCATAAGATTAACACAAGTTACCTTTGGCCCCTACAATTACAAGACTACTCAAAGTGGTATCCAATAGCTTCCAGACATTTATTACTGCAGTGAACTGCTGCTTGGTAAGCTTGGTGACGGACATTGCTGCACACAAATTTTCAGTTTCTTCTCTAAGGGCTGGCAGTGTATAGAGTTTTCTGTGATATATAACATTCCATAGGACCTCCCCCCCCCGTATCCTCTAGGGTAACACCATCTATTGAAAAAATATGCTATTTTTCTTTCCCTGATGTATATATTTTTATTTTGGCAGACTCTGTATATATGCACATAAATGGAGAGAAAAAAAGAGATTACTAGAAAGTAGGAAAAAGTTCAAATACTTCCCCAAATTACATATTCCATTGTTATAAAAATTTCAATATAAATGCTAATTTGTTTCATTTATATACTAATAATTTATCTTAGTTCATTGAAAAGAAAGTTTGTTTTGTTTTGTTTTGTTTTGGTATCAGGGATCGAACTTAACAACCTCATACTTGCCAGGCAGGTGCTTATGCAACTGAGCTAAACTCCTGGCCCCTGTGTGTCATTTTTGGCTTATATCTTGTACTAAATATGTTGAAGACAATGATATACAGTGTAATAACTATTGCTATTATCTTATTATTTGGTTATGAAAACTTGTTTCATTTTTCATAAAATAGAAAGAAAACAGTTTAAAAGTTGTCTGAGTTGAACCCTGAATGATGATGAAAATAAATACAGAAAAAAGGCATACTGGTAAGTGAACTTCAGGGAATATCCTCTGGGTTACCAAAAAGGCACAGTATATATTTCCATCAGACTTCCATTACAGTCCTCATGACACTCCATTGCTTTGTGCCAAGGCAGATAGTCAATAAAAGTTTACTAAGTAAAAGTATAAACAGGGACCAGAGAAGAAAGGGGGGAAAAAGAAAGTAAATGAGGAAAATAGACAGATTGTTTTGGTCATTATTTATTACACAGCATAAATAACCAAAATATGAACCTATTTTGTATAGGAAAGTATCTGAATTATTGTCAATCAAGAGCAAAAGTACCTTAATAAAACTCTGGTAGAACAGACTGAAAAGTAAAGAGGACTGAATTTGGATGGCTCTACAGCAGTGCAGTTCCCCTAAAGAGAGGTGGTCTTAAGCATGCCGAGAAATCAACTAAGCAATGAAGACCACACTATAGTTAAACTCAATTCAGAAGCATACTATTAATTTTCTATAGATACACCATATAATTCTTTAGCGTCTAGAAACTTGATGATTAATGAATCAGCTGCCAGAGACTCCCTGAAGCTAATTAAATAGTGTAAATATTAGCAAATGTATCCATTTAAAATGGTTTGCCAACCTATTATGGAAATATTAAATAAATAATAATAGTAATAAAGGCATAACTAATGGTGCAAAAGCCAATAAGCTAAAGGATTTAAGTCTTAGTGTTCGACAATTTCCTTTGTCAGCTTCACTAATTCATACTGATTAGTATGAACGAATATCATTATGAAGTAGAGGTTAGTATTACGAGCTCTGAAGCTGGGGAAAAACTTAGGTTGCAGTTGTCTATAAATGCAACTGACGGTGAACAAATGATTCAATTTGTACTGTGACCTTGGTATACAAGACTTTGTATTTATATAAAGGGTCATGCACTCTTTATCGCAAGAAAATAAAAATAGATAAAATCAAGTTATTTTGAACTTTTAAAATAAGTTAAAATGAAATCATCATGACACAGATTGTCTAAAAAGTATATTAGCATAATAAATAAGTGGTTATCCTGTAAACTGTACTCAATTCCTCTTCTGTAGTAGTAATAATGATAACACCATCACCTTGTTCTTATGGCCATTTCACTTTTTTTCAAGCTATTTTCACAAATATTAATTGAAAAATCCTTATACGTAATCTGACCACTCCTGGTACAAAAACATTAAGTACAGAGTCAAATGGCAAGAAATAGTTCTATCACCTCCAAAATGCTAAGAATATACTCCCCTTTTCTGAAACAAGGCCTCTCTTGTCTCTAAATTACCCAGGCTGGGTCTGGCTTGAGATCCTGTCTCAGCCTCCAGAATGCTGGGATTACAGGCAGATATCACCATGCCCGCCTACATCTGTTTATTTACAAGGATTCTCACCACTTTCACATTATTAATCAGATAGTAGCACTAGGGATGATCTTTCCATTCTTTGTATCACCAGAAGGGCATAATCCAAAAGAGAAGAACAACTAAAAATTGATAAATACGCTAGGTGACTGTGAGGCAGTTAAACTATGCTCTTGAACTTGAATTCAGATCTCCCCGAAGTCTCACAATCAGAGTAACTCCCCAGAACAATGTTTATTCTCCCCTTCTCCAGGCATGCTTAAGAATAATTCAGATATCTTAAGTATAAGCATGAAAAAAATCAAATCTTTCCTGTTCTCTACTATAGTTCCTTTGTATTGAGCATAGGCCCAACACGAAGTAAATAAATAAATTTTCATTGTGATTATTACTAAAGGGAGAATGTTATGCCCAAATTCTCATAAAATATCTGCTCAGCGGCAGAGAACAAAAGTCAACTTTTTGTTGGTGTTGTATAACTTTTCCTCCACAATTGTTACTTTTACAAGTGTGTATAAGAAAGTGGAACCTTGGGCCAAGGATTCAGCTCAGTGACATAAGCACCTGCCTGGCAAGTGTGAGGTCATGAGTTTAATCCCTGGTACCAAAAGAAAAAAAGAAAGTAGAACCTAAACAAAATTAGGGCCACAGAGCAAATCTATTAAAAATCTAGAGACAAACAACTGGAAGGTAGATTCAGAGAGCCAAGACAACTGCAAAAAAGCAAAGAATACAGCCTGACAACCCTTCATTCAGTAAGCAAGCTCTTCTAAGTCTCCATTCTGAAACTAAAAATTACTTCACTGAAGCATTTTCAAAACATGAGTAGAAACATGTCAGTATATTAATAGTATTCATTTTATAATTAAATAAAATAGTTTCCTTTTCTTTAATAGGACCAAACTGAAAGAAACTATGGTTGCTTGACTTATTCAATAACTGAGTTTCTGGAAGTTGGGTACAAAATTTTAAACTGATTTGAATTTTACAAAGTACTAAGAAAATGTGCTGCTAAAAACTCCAATGGGTAACTGGGAATGGTGGTGGATGCCAGCACTGGAGGACTGAGGCAGGAGGACTGCTGTGAGTTTGAGGCCAGCCTGAACACATAAATGAGCTCAAGTCCACCCTGAACTACATCGTGAGACCCTCTCTCAAAAATAAAAATAAAATAAAAAAGGGCAAACTGGGCATCGTGGTGCATGCCTGTAATCCCAGCACTCAGGAGGCTGAGGCAGAAGGATTACTGTCAGTAGGAGGCCAGCCTGAGCTACATAATAAGTGTAAGGTCAGCCTGTACTACAAAATGAGACTCTGTCTCAAAAAAATTCTTTTCCTATGGGTTAAACTGGGAGCACATACCTGAAATCCCAGCTATGAAGGTAGCTCAGAGAACAAGAGAACTACAAGTTTCAGGCCAGCCTAGAAAACTTATCAAGACTCTACTCAAAACAAAATTTTAAAAAGCTTGGGGAAGTAGCACCATACTCTTAATCTACCCCCCCATACACACACACACACACACACACACACACACACACACACACCAGCAATATACTTTAAACATTTATGACATTAGACCTTTCTAATATGCTGTTCTGGCTGTTTTCATTTTCATATTCAGCATATACTCTCAAAGCAAGAATATAAGATTTTTTTAAAACAAAATAATCTAACTTTCAAGTCTAATTGAAGAAAGTTTCTGTTTAAAAAGTTCTGTGATGGTTAACCTTGGTTGTCAGCTTTATTGGCTTGAGAGACACCTACAAGTAAGCACATTTCTGGGTACCTGGGTGAGTCAGGGGGGTCTGACCTTGGGGATTATATCTGATTCCCAGCGCCTTTCTCTCTGCTTCTTCCCCTGTGCTCTGCTGCCATAAGGTTAGCAACTTTTCTATGCTATGTCCTTCCACCATGCTGTTTCTGCCTCAGAGCCAGCTGACCATAGACTAAAAACTCTGAAACTGTGAACTTAAATAAACCCTTTCTCTTTTAGCTGTGTGTATTGAGTATTTTATTCCAGCCACAAAAAGCTGTAGAATCTAAACTTATCTTGTAAAATTTGTAAATTAACTCATTAGGAAAAGACACTTATATTGGATGCTTGTGAACCAAATAACCACAAAAGATAAATATGAAAGCATAACAATGCTGAAGTACAACACTTAAAATAAGTGTTAGGTCCTTTTGGTCTGGAGGTTTTTTGGTTTTTTTTTTGTTTTTGTTTTTTTGTCTTTTTCAGTACCAGGGATTGAACTCACGACTGCCTGCTTGCAAGGCAGGCGCTTATGCCGCTGAGCTAAATCCCCAGCCCCTGCAGACTATTCTTAAACCAGACACCAAAAGCTCCTAATCCATACCAACTTTGGCAGATTACGTGGAAAACAGCATCACTACCAGTCAAAATTATTTATAGTAAAAGCATCTGTCATGTGCTCTTTCTTTGAAGTCGATGGAGACAAACACTTTACTAAAATTTTTATTTCACAGCTGGGAAGTTTTTGCCTGAGGATCTTTTCAGAGAATGTACAGTGGCATTGTCATCTCACCTATTCCTACTTCTACAGAGTTTTACAGATCATCTTTCAGTACAGGTGCCAGAGTAAATGCAGGATAAAGTATTTCATAAGACTTATTTACCCTAAAAAAATTACTGCTTATCTGAAATTCAAACTTACTTAGATATCCTGTGTTTTTATTTACTAGGTCTGTCAGGTATATCCTTCAATATAAGTCTATTTCAGAAAATACCAAATTCATTACCAGGAAGTGATTTAGTTTCACAAAAGTTGGCTAATTCCTTACCTTTTAGGAACTTTTTGAGGACCAAGCCACCACAAATGCTTCTTACAGAAGAAACTATAAAAACAGAATAAGAAAATAAGACAAGTAAACGGAGTTCACTTTAAAAATCAGGACTAGTTGTATAGATAAGCATCATACTGCTTGCCTAGCACGCACAAGGTCGTGAGTTTAATCCCTGGCAACTCAAAAAGACTATCAAATGATAATCTGAAAACACTAATTACAAATGCCTAACATTTAAAAAGAGATCCTACAATGAATTCAGTTTTTAAAAATGGAAGTAAACTGCATAGGCCTAGGTTTGGAGTGGGTGATGCTGAGTGGGGATGGTAGCAGTGGAAGCTGACTATACTCTCTTTGTGGACAACTCTGAAACTAAAGTGACAGAAAAGTGGCTTTTCATGCTGCTCTGCCAGGGTGGGCCAGGAATAAAAGTGAAAATTCCAAAACATAAAAATGATAAACACAAGCAATTTTTTATGAATTTTAAACATGAAGTATCTGTTCTTTATGTAATGAATCACTTAATGGAATCAAACTTTTTGGAAGGCACATCAAAATTCAATTTGAGATCAAGCAGTAGTCATGCATCATAGGATTCAGTTTATGATAACCCCAGAATCATGCTGGAAACTCAACTTCATATTTCCTAGCAGCAGACAGAAAATGACTATAGAACACATGACACCATCATCACAGATAATTCAGAGGTCATTCTCTTCTCTAGAAAATTATCAGAGATAAGCAGTGATGTCATATGTTAGGAAATTTGGTTTCCACATGGATCAATCAGGATTTTCACCATCAGTTCAGTCATATAATCATATTTTTAACCAGTCTTCAAGTTCCCAATAGCACCAGATACATCACCATTAAAGCATAAAACCAGAATTCTCATCCCTACCTAGCAGATAGACATTATAGCCAAGAACAAGGTTACACTGATCACAGACCTGGCCACCATTACGGAAGCAACAGAGAGGACTTCTATAGGAATCATGATGACTGAAGTTAGAATTATGATTACAGAAGAGACGATGGTAGAAATGGAAAATGACACTCCTCCTGACAGTATTAAAATATTAAAAGGGTTATTTTAACCTCTTTTGACTAAGTTGAATTGGAAATATTTAGAAAATCTACACCGAGCAGCTTTAAATTGTCACATTTGTTATTTTTAAAAAAAAAAAAACATAACTACAGTTTAATGGAGAAATAAGAAAAATTTAAGGGAGGGGAGAGGAAAGAAAAAAGATATATCATGTACAGGTACAAATTCCTTATGATGAATGTTAACCTTATGTACATCTAAAATGATCTAAAATATACCAATAAATTTCTTTTTTTAAAAAGAGGCAAAAAAATTCAAACTGTGGTTCCAGTTTTTTCTTTTTTCTTTTTTTTTTTTTTTTTTTTTTGGTACCAGGGATCAAACTCTCGATCTCGCACTTGCCAGGCAGACGCTTATGCCACTGGGCTAAATCCCTGGCCCTCTTTTCTTTCTTTTTTTTTTTTTTTTTTTTTTTTTTTTTTGAGACAGGGTTTCACTGTTTAATTCAGGCTGGACTTGAACACACTTAGTAGCACAGGCTGGCCTCAAACTCACAGCAATCCTCCTACCTCAGTCTCTCAAGTGCTCAGGTTACAGGCATGTGCCACCACCCACAGCACCTGGTTTCATTTTATTTTTTTATTTTTTTTTGTTTAATTTTATAAACAACCTTTCACCTCAGAGTTCTAAAGAAAATCCCACAGTTCCTAATCTTTTAGACAGCTTCAGAAGGTTGAATTATATACCAAGAGTGACTAAAAAATGTTTAAACTTTGAAAAACTTAGCTGTAACATATTTTTAAAACTTAAACATTCTTGTGTACAAAACTAACAGACTGGTTGTATTACAAAGTAAATGTGTTAATTATCTGTTATCCTTTTTCATTGCAAGAAATTTCATGTTTAAGTGAACCCAATTTTGGAGTATATAATAGAAAGTAAGCTGATTGTCTGAAATGACTATTTTATTTAAAAAATCAGAAAATACAATTTTCCCATGATTAGTTTTATTAGCAGTTTCAGAAAGTTATTAGTTGTTTGGGGTAAATCATTTTGCTCAAGAGATTTCAAGTATGAATTTTATGGCACATTCTTTGTAGCCTTACCATATACAAATATAAATCTAAACATACTATTTCATTCTGAACTTTTTCATTAATTCATGTTTGATATATGACTGGTCACTCAGGAAGTTAAATATCTGTATGTGTACATTTTTACATGAAAAATTACAAATAATTTAAATTCCCTTTATCATGAAGAACAAAAATATAAATGCATACTCAGATAAAATCTTAAAATGTTTTACTGAAAATATTCTTTTTGGGAAAAACGACTCCTGAAGTCTTTATGTGTTGCCTCTCTTCCTCAGACTTTAGAAATTTTAACATTTCGAAGTGCCCAAGACATGTACACCAAGGACACATTTTATTAGGGGGATTTACAAGATGATTTTTGTTTGAGTATCAGAAAAAAATCTGTTAAAATTTTCGGCTTCTGAAATTTTTAAATTTTAAAATTTCTATGTATCAAGATACTGTTTCCCATTCATCACAGAATTGTTTATAAAATTCATTCCTTGGAAATCTGGATTTTTAATATTCATCACAGCCTTTGCATTGTGTTACTTTTTAATATACTGAAAACTAAAAAGAAAAAAATGAAAACACCAACGAAGAAAAAAATGAAAACACCAACGAAGACTGTGACGCTAAATGACCATCTGTAGGCAGAATGCCTTCTTGGAGATGATAACATAAAAGCAAATCTTTTCACCTATAGTCAACAATTTTCTACAGTTAAGAACAAGACTGCCCCTTTGAATGTTATTGTACAGAAGCTGGTAGAAAATAATTTTGTGAAGATGTTATTTTCAGATAATGATCGAGAGTATTCAACTCCAATAACTCATGTTCCAATATAAGAGTAAATTAAAAGTTTGGTCATTCTTTTAACCAATTTATTCTTAAATAGAAAATATTTTACTAAGCTATCAGATAAGAATTCTTCATGCCTATAGTCCTAAATATGAACATTAGCACATTCAGAGCAGTGATGCTGAGCCTTTTAGAGTTTTCAATGATACAAACATCCCGCTACAGCATGCGTGCCATTGTTTTGCCACCACTGATTTAGAATAGTAATTGGAACAGAGGATGAAGGAAGACACAGACACATAAGACAAGAAAAAAGATCAGAACTACTTGAAGCCCCCTCCCAAATGGACCATGCCTTTTCCCAAAGGGACATGATCCCACTGCCGTAAGAAAATGTACATTGCCTCAGAAAATGTACACTTTCCATGAAGGGGGGAGAAGTTGAGAATGACTGAACTAGAATGAGAGCCAAATCCATTTCCTAAATGTATGCTATCCACTATGTAGTACCCAGTAACTTACAGGTGGGTATTTAAACTTAGCTAGATTAAAAATTCAATTTCCCAGTCATACTAGCCATATTTTATGCAGTCAACAACCATGTGTGACTAAAGGCTAGTATACTAAACTACCAAAAATATGGAACATTGTCACTGTCACAGAAAGTTCTACTGGAATATAACACTCTAGATCTCCAGATTTTTTTAAATTTTATTTTAAATACAGTAAAATTCAACAGAACAGATCATAAGAAAACAATTTAAGAAACACAGATTTCAAAACAAGACCACCAGAGATCTTCACTATCATATTGTCTCTTGCTTTCTTCCAAATAGTTGTCCATATCTTCACATGCAGTGAATTCATACAGAACAAAATACTATTACTGATCAGAACAGGGTGATGAAGGCATTTTAGGTCTTCAAGACCAGACAATAGGGAAGTCAACAATGGCTGCCATAATGCCTCGTTCTCTTCAAAATAGCTGTCCATATCTTTACGTATGTTGAAATTGAACAAAAGCAAACAGACTAATATCACTCTGAACAGAGAATAATAGTATTGCTAGATTTTATATCAAGATGCTACGGAATTAGCACTGGGTCTCTTTTTCTTCAAAGTATCTGTTCATTACATTGTGCATTATATCAATTCTCATAAACTGTTTAAAAGTTCTACGCATGTATGAGTCTCTACATATATACCTATCCTTTCTGTATTAGAGGGAAAAACAAATTAAACCAAGACAACAAAACAAATTCCCAGAAAAAGACATAAAACCACAATACTACGTAATCTACAGTATGATGTCTCTTGTTATTTTCAATAGAACTGTCTATATCATCAGGCATAGTATAATTGAACATAGCAGTACATAGCAATATTAATTTAAAAAACACTGGAGACTTTATAGGACTTTAAAAGCAGTTAATAATCAAACCAGAATAGGTATCCTATTTAATCTTGTCTTCAGAGTAGTTGCCTCTACTCTTAGACTTGATACTATCAAGCATACCAGATTCAAATAAAATCAGTCAAGACAAAACAGCACAGATTTCCAGATTTTAAGCGGTTCTGGACAAATGCTCCTGCTTCCAAAGGTCAGAACCCACATAGCATAGAAAATTTAACAAAAGACAGTGTCTGTCTGTCTCTTTATGATCCTCCCAGACATGTACCAGTTCTTACCATATGGGTGTGGGTCATTGGACAGCAGAAATAATATACATAATTTCCAAGCCTACCCTATAAAAATCTTTGATTTATAAGCTTTGCTCTTTCCCTACACTCTTCGCTAAATAAAAGGGTGCTGAGAGGGCTAAAAGGAAAATCAAGACATAAGACAAAAACAGCTTGGATCCTGTATGAAACAAAATGCATCCCTAAATGTGTACACACACCCTGCACACAAAGGCCTGTGAAATAAAGGGCAAGGACTATAAAAAAGGAAAAGCAAACATTGTCTGTTTAACCATTGAGATTTCAGATTTTATCTGCTATATATGCACCTAGCATTACTTACTACCATGGAAAGATTAAAAAATAATATATTATCAGCTTACAGGGAGGAAAATACAGGTTACTCACAATATAATCAGAAAGACTTTAGAATTTTCAATAGCAACACCTGAAGTTAGAAAACAGAGTTATAATGTCACAAATATTCTGAATGCAAATGAATTCTGACTCAGAATAATTTACTAGGCCAAACTACCAATCAAGTGTCATGAGTGTAGACATATACAGAAATCCAAAGTCTCAAGAAATTTACCTCCCAAACACTTGATTTTCAAGTAAGCTACTAGATCCTGAGATTCATCAAAACAAAGGGTATTCCAAGAAAAAAGCAGGATTCAGGAAAGCCAAAATCCAACACAAGAGAAAAACTAAAACACTGAATAATGATGAAAAGAAAATTTCAAATGACAGTTATGGGCTAGGTACAGAAGGTATCGAGTCAAGATAACAGCATGTCAAAAAACTCTGGGAAAGTTTTTTTAGGAAAATGAAATTGATAATCAATTGTGTTACTACATTAGGAGTAGATTTATACAAATCCTGGGAGTTCTGAAGCTTACTAATTAATAAAAACAGAAAATAAATTACAAAATTTTTAACTGAAGGGAAAATCTAAACAAAAGTAATAACAGTTTTTATACAGCATGAACAGCAAGGAACATCAATGTGAATTTTTCAGAGCAAGACAGACCAGAGAACAGAGAGATTGCTGGTACTTACAAGTGAATTCTGACTCAGAAAACTTTACTTAGCCAAACTACCCCATTTTATGGTCATAACAAATATCCTGATCTTTATTTTTGGTGGGAAAATATAACTACATTAAAGGAAAGATACATAGTGGAGTTGGACATATCATCTTCTATAATGGAAAGTCAACAAATACATAATGCCTTAAAAAAAGAAAATCAAGAATATGGTAAAATAAACATCTTTAGAAATAGCCTATAAAGTTGAAAGCAGAACCCTCTAGGACAGAAAAAGTTGGGAAGGTAGGCGCACGCAGGGAACTGTAAGTTTTCTAACAAGTCTATTTTACTTTTTTTTTTTTTTTTTTTTTTGGTCTTTTTCGTTTTTATCGGTACCAGGGATTGAACCCACGACTGCCTGCTTCCAAGGCAGGCGCTTATGCCGCTGAGCTAAATCCCCAGCCCCAGTCTATTTTACTTTTAAAACCACATGTACATAAATTGGGCATGATGGTGCACACCTGTAGTCCCACCATTTAGGAGACTCAGGCAGAAGAACTGCTGTGAGTTTGAGGCCAGCCAGGCTACATAACAAATTGAAAACCAGCCTGAACTATAGAGAGAGACCTTATCTCAGACGATAAATACATATATACGTATCATGGGCACGTGTGACTTTGACAAAGCCTAAAACTCAAAAAATTGGGTTAGTTTGGTTTGGTTCCATTCGGTTTTAGTTCAGTTTTGCCAAAAATGAAGAACAGGTCAGGCCTGGAAGCACAAACCTGTAATCCCCAGCATTCTGAGAGGCAGACACAGGAGGACAGCCAGTTTAAGCCCAGTCAGAGCAACTTAACAAAACCACCTCAAAATTTAAAAGTAAATAAACATTTAAAAAATTAAAGGGGTGGAGTAGGACCAGGATACAGCTCAGTGGTGTAAGTAGCTTCCTGACAAGCACAAGGTCCTGAGTTCGATTCTTGATACCACATAAATTTAATTTAAAAAAAAGACTTGGAGGGGTTGGGGATTTAGCTCAGTGGCATAAGCGCCTGCCTTGCAAGTGTGCAGTCGTGAGTTCGATCCCTGATACTCATAAAAAAACGAAAAAGACAAAAAAAAAAAGAGTTGGAATATAGCTCAGTGCAAAGGTCTTGGGTTCAATCTCCAGTACTACAAAATAGTAAAATACAAAATAAAAAATGAAGAGCTCTACATTCTAACATGAACTACTACTCCATCTTACTAAAAAGTACATGACAAAACTGTAATTATACTAATTTGCATTTTTAAAATCTGATAACTGAACATATGGATAGAAAAATCTGAGTATACATAGTGCTAATAGTTGTTTCAAGGAGATAACTAGAAAGTCTCACTCTCCATGACATTTCTATAATGTAATGTTTTGTAATGCTGTAATCACCTTTTATCCTGCTCCCCTCAAAAAAGAACTATAAACATAATTACATAGAGATCAGAGACAATAAAGAAAATAAAAATGCCCTCTTTCCTAGATGTTATGTAGGCTCAAATGCCTATCAAGTTAGTTGGATTTCTTGCCAGAAGCTACTGTGGCCCATATGTTCTTTAAATGAAATCAATCCTGTTACCCTTGGCACAGTTTATTGGATTAGAGTCAGGGCAAAAGCTGATTCAACATTATACAGACCAATGACATTCTAGACATGAAATTAAGCATTTCACTTATAAGTGGTAAGAATTCTGCCCATTTATAATAGAGTTCATACAGAGCAACAGCAAACCAATCTATCACACTCTGGATGATTTTTAATAAGTACACAAAAAGCAGACAGGTCATTCCAGTTTAGGTAAGCAAATGTCTTATTAGAGTTTGGTATGCTATCCAATCTCAAATGGGTCTCCGAGTGACTCTTTTAAGGCTGATGGGACAACTTTATTACAAAGAATCCTTAAACACACATAAACAATCAGACAAAAAAGCTAGCAGTTCACAAGTTCAAGAAAACTAGTTGTTTCACAGCCACTAAATGCATCAGCTTTCTCTCATGAGAATAGATACAAATGACAGAGTAAGATTCAAGTGGAAGAAATAATGTCAAACTAATTGCAGGTCATATTATCAAAGAATGTCCTATTCGTCATGTCATTTATTTTCCTTTTCTGTTATTTATTTCTCCTCTTTTGCAACTGCAATCAGCTGGATATGAAAGAAAAAGTATATAAAAATTGAATATAGTTTTTCTATGAAAGACCAGGTTAAAACCAGGAACAAAAATGAAATTGTTAAGCCAGTGTGGTGGTGCACACCTATAAGTAATCCCAGCCCTTAGGAGGCCAAGGCAGGAAAATCATGTACAGTTCAAACCCAAACTGAACTACATAGTGAGAACCTGTCTCAAAAAAAAAAAAAAAAAGAATGTTTGTAAGTAATCTTAATCAAAGCCAGTTAAATGATCTTGTGGTGAGTCATTTCATTCACCTTTCCCATCTGACACATTTGTAATTTATCACCAGATACTTACATAATCATTTTGATTTTTTAACTATGTAAGATTGTGGTTCACTGAAATTTTTATGTAAACAATGACAATTCACTAAAAAGCAAAAATAGAAAAATTTTCTCCCTCTACTCACTAGTTGTTACACAATGAAGAGCATCTGGCCGGTGCTTAGAATTTAATGCTTCTATGGAAATCACTAGCTGCCCTTCTAGCAATGCTCCCTTTGATATTTCGGTTTCACACCTCCAGTGGATTATTAAATATTTCAAAATCTGAAAAGAAAACAATCTTTTAAAATCACAGTAATAATAAATTATATGATACAGTTAAATTAACAACTCTAACCCTCAGAACTGAATTCCTGCTTGAAAAATGTCAGTTATATTTGTGCAAAGTATAGCATGGTGTCTAAAGGGAACGTTTACAGTGACCTAAGAGTGTAAAATTCACAATGACCAACAAGACAGGAAACTGAGACAATAAAATACAGCACTCAGAGGATAAGCTGGAAATAAAAACTAAGGAAAATTTAAATGGCTGTTTGTTTTTCTTGGTTTTTTTTTTCTTTCCAAATAAAAGCCAACATAAAGACTCTGAGTAAGAGTGGCATCTGATCATTAATAATCTTTACCTTTCATTAAATCAACATTTTTGAGGGTCAAACTATTATTTGAGTGCTAGAGGCAAACGTCTGGGTTTGAAACTTTAATGTGACAATTTCTAGCATGTGACAAGTTACTTAATCTGTAACCCAGATTCCTCATCTAAAAAAAATGAAGCACATTACATTTGGCTACTACGAAAAGCAAGCAAATATAGATAAAATGCTTAACAGTGCATTTGGCATGTAGTAAATCCTAACAAGTTCATTTGCATAAAATACTGAGCACAATACATATTTTTAAACTAATTAAGATATCAAGATATCCAAATAATATCAAGTGCTGGTGAGGCTGCAGGGGAAAGAGGAAGCTTCTACACTGTTGGTGGAAGTATGAACCAGTTCAAATACTATGGAAGTCAGTATAAAAATTGCTCAAAAAACTAAATCAAGCAATTCTATTTGACCTAATTATTCCCTCCTATGTATCTTCCCAAGAGTTAGATATTGTATTACAGTAATATATGTATATCCGTGTTCATAGCAGCACACTTTAGAATAGCTAAATCTTGGAAGTTACCTGTATGTCCACCAACACATGAATGGATAAAGAAAACAGCATTACACAATAAAATACTGCTCTGCCATAAATGATAAACATAAGTCATTTGTGGGAAGACAGATGCACCTTGAGATCAGTGTTAAATGAAATATCAGGCAAATAAGCTTAAATATCACACAGTTTCCCTTATATGAGAAACCCAAATGTAAGAGCAAAATAAATGATAAATAGGGAAAACATTTCCTTGGGGAGTTCTTGGTTTGTTAATTAAAACATTGTGATTTTCGGCTGGGGATTTAGCTCAGCAGCATAAGTACCTGCCTGGCAAGAGCAACGTCATGAGTTCCATCCCCGGTACCCCTCCTCCTCAAAATTGTGATTTGGCTGGGTGTGGTTCCACATCTTAACCTCAGTACCAGGGAGGCTGAGGGAAGAGGAGTGCCAGGAGTTCAAGGCCAGCCCTGACTAGGTAGTGAGACGACATCTTAAAAAAAAAAAAAAAAAAAAGTGACTGGGGATTCAGCTCATCAGCACAAGTGCCTGCCTGTAAAACACGACTCATGAGTTCAATCCCGGGTACCAAAAAATTAAATAAATAAATTTTTAAAAGGGTACAAACTTTAAACTTCACTAACCAGAGTTCTCTCTCCATTTGGACGTGAAAAAAAGAAAAGAAAAATGAGCTCCGCAGGGTGATCAACACCACCAACAAAAGATATCCAAATAATTCAATCTTGATGACACAAATTAAAACACATAATTTCCATTACTATTCATGAAAGTAGACTCTAACTTCTACCACAGTAAGATACGAGAATTACCTTTTTCTTTCTTTCTTTTTAAAGGGAATTGAGCTGAGTAAGACCACTTGAGAATTACGATCCTAATTTGTATTAGACTTTATCAAGGTGGTGTTCAGGATTTTCTATGCTATTTCTTTGGTGCATCCTCTGCCATTCTGGGCTCCCTCTGCTCACATTTTTCCCAGTGTATTTTATTCATCAGGAGAGCAGTTGGAGAAAAAACACAAAGCTATGAGTCAGAGCCCTGTGTACTATCCTAGGTTCTGTCATCTGTGAAATCGACCCCCCAACATCCTTTAATGGTATTAAAGAAAGGAGGGGGACTGTGTACACTGTAAGGTGCTCTCAGAGCTGGGGACTCTCTCGCTATCTGAGTTTGCAATGGAGTGACACAGGCAGGTATGCAGCATCATCCTCGGGGAGGAGCAGAGATCTGGGCGCTCAGGGTGCAGCCTCTGAACCTCACTTCGCCGTCCAGCTGCTCCCAGACCACGCACCTACACCATACCCTGGCTGAGCCGCGCCCCGCCCTGCACAGACCCCCTCCTTGCGCTGTCCCCTCTCGGGTGGGCAACGTTTCCAATCTCAGCTGTTCCTCACAGGAAAACCTGCAGCGAGCCTGCCCAGCCTCGCCTCAGCTTTCAGCCCCTCCTCAGACTCAGAGAAGCAGGCTGTTTTCACCCACTCCTGGCCGCCCTCAAACCCTCCTCCTCCACCGTAAGGCCACACCGGACCCCTGTGGGAGAAGTTCACGGTCTCCCCACAAAGCCTGCCCCCTCAGAAACTGTTTTTTCTGCTTTCATTCCCTTCCCAGCATCACCTCGCAGACAGCCAACGCCGTCCGCTTCATCCCGCTAGAGGAATAGCGGCAATGCGCCGCTGAAAAACCCGCAGGTGGCCTCGAACGCCTCCTCCCACCAGCTTCGAGCTTCGATTGAGGCAGGCGCCCACGCCCAGACGCTAGAACTTCAACCTTCCCGCCCGCGCGCGCCTTGGCCCCACCCGCTACGTGCTGCGCCTGCGCACTCGGCACCGCCCCCGCCCTTTGGTGCGGAGTTGGTGCCTGGAACCGCCCCCCACGCTGCCTGTATGTAGGTGAGTGGGCGGGCCGCGCGCGCTACTGGGCCCGAGTTGGAAGCGCTCCGGAAACAGGCCAGTCCGCGACTCCTCCCAGCCGCTTTCCCACGGTGGCGCCGAGACTCGGCGTTCGGCCCTTTTAAAACGCTTTGACTGCCGTGGGCGCTTCCCAGGTCTTTTCTCCGAGCTGGGAGAAAGTCTCGAGTGCCCGGTGTGGTGACCCCCCAAAGGCCTCCCCTTTTGCGGGGGCTGCCCGAGTGCCCCAGGCAAGCCTGCGGTTCCCACGTCAACCTAGCAAATACGACAAATCCAGGCGGCCAGTTAAAACTGGATTTCAGATAACCGATGATACCCCCCCCCATATGTATGTGTCATACAATATTTGGTTCAGATACTAAGAATATGTTAAGTCATCTGAAATTTAAAAACTGGACGCCCCAGGTTTTATCTAACAACCTGTCCCCTCTTCAGACCGGACCTGGAAGCTTCCCGCACGCTGCCAGGTTATTGATTGCACTAAATGTGCAGAGATAGAAGCAGCCCTTAGGGGTTTCCAGTTGAAAAGTTCAATGCTAGGGGCTGGGGATTTAGCTCAATGGCATAAGCGCCTGCCTTGCAAGCAGGCAGTCGTGAGTTCGATCCCTGGTACCGATAAAAGTGAAAAAGACCAAAAAAAAAAAAAAAAAAAAAAAGTTCAATGCCAGACTCTGGTGGGTACTGAGAGGGGCTTAAACCCATAACTGCCTGTGATCTAGTATCTTTTCTTTGTTGAGCAACTAAAAGAAAATGCTGGTGAGAGAGATTCTTTCCTGGCAGAGTTGCCAAAGAGAAGGGTGGGACAGGGTGTTGACTGTTTTCCCTCCAGGGAAAATTCTTCCATTCCAGCGCCTAGAAGCCAGAAGTGGACAAAACAGGTTGCAGAGTTGGCGGAGTGCCCGCCCAGTCCACAATGTTGGTGCTACTCCAAAGAACAAGTCTTTGGGTACCTGAGTCATACCCTTCTCCAGGGTGCTCAATGTTGCAACCCTGACTCCCCATCGCAAGTGCTCACAGATAGGATCCGTTGGAGAAAGATGGCTTCTATTGCTGGAAAATTCATTGTATAAAGCATGATTTAGTAAGAAAGCGGGGTAGTTTTATTTTGGTGTTAGTTTTGTCTTTTTGAGATAGGATTTCTCTAATGCAGTTCAGGCCAGTTTGAATTCACTTTGTAACCCAGGCTGGCCTTGAACTCACAACTAGTCTCCTGTCAGCCTCCTGAGTGCTGGAATTATAGGCGTTTACCACAATGTCCAGCCAGAAAACCTGTATTTGGGGACTCACTTGAGTTGGCCTCACCCTTTAACTCTTTTGCTCTTTAACTGTTTTGCTCTTTCACTCTGTCTTGTCCCCTTTGGGAAGGAGAGTGACCCAGGGGAGAGTCATCATTAAATGACTTCTTGTTAGCTCTTGACCTGAATTGTGTCAGTCTTACAACTGTCTTGTAAAAATAATTATTTACAGTATTTGATAGGTGAGAAACCAGGTTACAAAAGATGAACCCCTGAAATAGTTACCACTGGCCGGGAAGTGGCACCTGCCTCTAATACCACCACTCAGGAAGCTGAGGCAGGAGGATCACTGTGAATTTGAGGCCAGCCTGAACTGCATATAGAAATCCTATCTCAAAAAGACAAAAAACAGGGGCTGGGGATTTAGCTCAGCAGCATAAGCGCCTGCCTTGCAAGCAGGCAGTTGTGGGTTCAATCCCTGGTACCGATAAAAAGCAAAAAGACAAAAAAAAAAAAAAAAAAAAAAAAAAAAAAGACAAAAAACAAAACGAAAGAAAAAAAAGAAATAATTACAACTGAAAATGTCAGCTCAGCAGATGTGCTCCACCTTAAGAATGGCACTGGAACTGATAGATGGATAAACAGTTGTGAATGGCAGAGCACCTCTGGTGAGCTAGTCTTTCTGGCTCCTGGCCTTTTCCCTTGAAATGAGCCTCCCAGACGAAAGTATAAGGAAATATCCAAAACCATCCAAAAAGCAGGGGAGGCCTAACTAAGGTCAGCAGGGACACAATGCCCTCCCAACCGGGTATAGGCAGAAGTAAAGGGAGCCTTTGATATGAGGATCCGCCAGCAGGATTTCCATAGCTTTTACCATTTGAATCAGGTACAGTCTAATGTCAGCTTGACTTTTTCCCCAGCCCTTTTTTAAAATGACTTTTTAATTTTGAGACAGGGCCTCACTAATTTGCCCAGGCTGGGCTCGAATTTGCAATCCTTCTACCTCAGCCTCCCAGAGTTCTGAGATTACAGATATGCACCTCCACGCCTGGCTCAGGATTGACATTTGGTGAGCATTGACCCCGTGTTTCAGTTTTCCTTACTCATCTTCCATAATTTTCCCCTGTAAGGGAGGTGTTTATGTCATAGATAATTAAAATTCCAAGATGAGGTTGTCTGACAATCCATTTGTAAATGTTAGGGTCAGAATCTGAAACAAAAATCTCTTAAGTCTTCTTTCCACTTCCCTACAGCTGCTACATGTGCATCTCCCAGCTAGATGCCTGACCAGCTGCTTGAGAGTTCTTAAGCATGAACCACTGGTGTTGCCATAGGACACCATCCCCTCTGCGCAAAAACTGAGGAGCCAGTAAACTTAGAGACCCTCATTCCCCACAAACTAAACCTCAAACGAGCCATAGCCTCCAGTCCTGTTACTCATCAATGTGTGCCCCCAACCTGCTTGTGACTTGTAACTAATAAACTATTGGACTGAAAAAAAAAAGGGGGGGGGTTGGGTTTTGTTTGTTTTTGCTTTTATTTTTTGAGATTCTATGAATTGAACCTAGGCCCTCACACTGAGCTTTTTTTCTTTATCAGTAAAAGGGATTGAACTCACGACTGCACGCTTGCAAGGCAGGCGCTTATGCAGCTGAGCTAAATTCCCAGCCCCTTTTTTCTTTTCCTCACACTGAGCTTTATTTATTTATTATTTCAGTTTTGAGACAAGGTCTCACTAACTTGCCCAGTCTGGGTTCTAACTTGCTATCTTCCTGCCTCAGCCTCCCAAATACTAGGATTATAGGTGTGTGCCTGTATTTGGACTCCAAAGTATTAAAACCAATAGAATGGTACAGTCAGAACAGAGAGAGTTAAGGTGATTAGTTTTCTTCAAAGATGAAGAAATTTTAGGCCCAAAGAAATTAAATCACTTGCTCAAAGTAAGGTCATTTTAGTCAACCAAGTAACCCAAGAAGCCTTTGGCTGTGGCTCTATTTCCAGCTATGGCCTTTAGGATCTTATTAGGAGTGACTTCTGGCATCCTGTTGTCCCCAGTTCTTAGATTGAGTTCATTATTGATTCTTTTCTCATTTTCCTAGTCACCTTAGGAATTGGACTGCTGTTACATGTCCATTTGGGATATTCTGTTTATTCTAAGAAATTCCTGCCTGGCCAGGAATTTCTTAGAATTCATCCACCTCCAGAATCCTAGATTGATTCTAATACCAACTGAGGGTTTGAGAAGAGCCAGAAGTACTACCCAAGAGATAGTGATGTTTTAGGGAATGTTGAACTGTCCTTTGCTTTTGAATATGCCATCTCTGTGTATATCATTCCTAGACGTTTCTTAGGTCAGATCTTATTTTCAGACTGCCTCAGAGCATTCAAATACCCTGTTTGGATTAAAAACTGATGGTCAACATAATACCAGCTGAATTAAATCAGCATGGTGCTGAGTGTAGATGTTCCACCCTAGGAAAGTGGCCAGTATAAATAGAAACATAGAGAAGGAGAAGCCAGGCGTTGTGGGTTTCTCTTAAGTGTTGCTGTTTGAGCTGTTGGTTCTAGTGGAGGAGCTCATCATGACTAGATTCCCCAGTGTGAGTTGGACCATTGTCATCAGAGAAACTTGGGACTTTGTTGGTGAGAGTGGCTGTGGTTCACTTTGGGGAAGTTCTGGTCCTTACATTGAGCATTGCTTCCTGGAGGGGAACACGTGTACTGCTTAATCTCCAGGACAAACTCGTCATGCTGGCTTTTTGACATGTATTTGACTGTTCTTATCGTCAGAAGAGCCCAGGGCCTCCATGTCCCAGAGGGTGGCTATGGTGCTTTTCAGGACAGCCCTTGTCTTTGTTTTGAGCATGACTTCTGGGTTACAGTGTAGAACCCTCAACCTATCAGCACAGCTCCTTCATCCTGCTGGCATAGACTTTCTAGTTTCCACTGCTGACCTTTGGCTTTCCCAGCACAGATCTGTAAAAGACTGTAGTGAGTCCTTCTCATGGGCTCTAGACCTCCAGCTGGACTCATGGGAGACATTTCATGGGCTCTAGGTCTTCATCTGGACTCATGTATGACATTGCTGAGGGATTCAGGCCCTTGGCCAAATATTCTATGTCTTTATGTTGTGGACAGATCTCCTGTACTTTCTTGTGTTCACTCTGGGTAACCATTATAAATAATATTATAAATTCTGTGTCCTGATTTTAATTGTTCTCTTCACAACCCCTGACTACAATGTGCCCTAAAGAAGTTGACCCTAGGAACTTAGATGGAAAATATCCCTGAGGTTCCCCTTACCAGGCCACTGTAAAGTAAATCCATTTGAGAGCTTTGTCCCCTAAAAAAATAAAACCAAATAACTATTAAAATAGGCTATTTCCCATACATATAATAGGATCCCATATAGACAATAAGAAAGGGTTAACTGCTTCTCTTGGGTCCCCAGCAAAGTCTGTCCCCTACCAGTTCCCATAACCGGGTTTCCTGAAATGGAGCGGGTCCCCAGTGCCTCTCCACTAATCACATCCTTGGAAATGGGGACATGGTGCTCAGATTAGCTCATTCCTTCACCTTCTTGAGGCCTTCTCCACCTGGAGCACAGAATCTGGGGCAGCTTTACCACTGCTTTCCTAT